GGGCCTAACTCCATTTATGGTAGATGTGGAAATTTAAGTGCCAAAACTCTTTGATGATCCTTTGAAATCTAGTACACAGCGGTGGAAAAATGTTAACAAAATTTAGATCCAGGTTAAGCATCTCTGAAGATATGGTCGCTTTGACTATTTTCTGCCTACTTCATTTTGCAGATTGAGAACCTAGGCAGAAAGTAACTGCCTTGTACAAAACCTTGCGGCAAAGCTTGGACCTGAACCCAGAATCCTAATCCGCAGTCTATCTTTCATAGCATATCTACTTGCATGTCACCTCCTGTACCCCACTTTTCATTGCATGTCTAACTTTAATTGCATGTCTACTTCTATTTGCAAAGGCTGAAGAATTAAGGTCATACAGATGATGAACAAAGAGTTAACTTTGTAAAGAACTTTAAAAGTACCAAGTGCTCAAGAGTTAAGAAATACCAAAATTAAACCCTTTCTGCATATTCTTAAATTTGATCCCGTTCCACATATGTGTTCCAATATAATCTAATCACCTGAACACAAACTATTGTCCCCAGCCTGTTCTAAGGATGAATGAGAATATATTGCAGGAACTAGTTGTGTATAGCATCTCTGCCTCACTGGTTGTAGAAGTTGGAAGGTATGTAATGAAATAGAATAAAGGATTGCAAGGAGAGAAGTGACAGTACACAGGCAGATTGAGGGGATGGAGGAGGGAGTGCAGGAGTGTAGTTGCACTGCCCCTTCCACAGTGAAAATCATGTGCCAGTAGCTCCATTTTCCTGTGGCTGGGTCCCCTGGGGTGTCTGAGGCATGGACTGGGACACCTGGGAGATGAAGCAGGGAGCAGGTAAGAAAAGAGAGACCCAATCACTGGTGCTGCTGTCCCTAGCTGACTTGGGGGCATGGGAAGCCCCCAGGACTTTTCCTAATCCACTCAAGGGCCACAGGAAACAGCTGCATGGAGTGCTGGGTCAGCAGCAGTGGCAGGGTTGAGTCTTCTCCCGCACCATTCACTGGGTTCTTTCTGCAGCCCAGGGGCTGCAGCAGGAAGTACCAGGTGCAGTGTCAGGCAGGGCTGGGGATCAGTGCACCAGATCCTCCTTCCAATACCTGCTCTTGGACCCAGGGGACGCAGAGAGAGAGTGGGAGTACCTGGAAGGGGAGACAAAAATGACCCACTGATAGCACTATTGCCACCCCTGCCTAGCACTTTGATCCACTCTTCATGCAGCTGGAGCTCCCAGGCCAGTGAGGAAAAGTGTGGTGGAGGGGGAGGGTGCAGAGACTCCACTCTGCCACTGACCCAACACCCCATGCAGCTGCTCCCCAGAGACGTCATCTGGTGTGGTCTCTGGGGCTTCCCTGCCACTTACTGAAGCCCCCACTTGCAGCACAAAGGAGCAGACCTAGGACTCCCCTACCCCTGTAATCAGCACTGGGCAGGCTCCCCCCGCCCTTCTTGCACCCAGATGAAAACTTGCTGGAGAGCATGACAGAGCAATGGGAGAGAAATGGAGAGGAGGGAAGTGCCTGCACTGGAAGAGGCAGGAGTGGGGTGGGCAGAAGAGCAGTGAGGGGAGTTTTACCTGCTGTGGGGACTCCAAAAAGTTCCCATAAGCTGTTGCCATGGCACAGTCTGCCCTCAGGGAGGGAAGAGGGGGAAGGGTTTCAACCTCCCCTGCAGCACTGGTAGCACCTCCCGCAGCCCCACTTTTCAAATTCCTAGATCAGCCCATGGGCCAGTATAATTTTTAAAGGCAGTTGCCTTCTATCCCTATCGCTACTGCACCTGTCTAGATGCAATACTGGGTGGGTTACTAAAAATCAAAACCAGCATAGCCAGCATGAAGACATTTCAGTTTACATAATTAAAATTAAAATAAGTGATAAACTATAGCCAGGGCTTTGTAAGACAAAGTATCAGGCAAACAATTATACACAGCACTGCCAGATGCTCCTATTAAAAAAATAGACTCCTGCCAAATATTGTGTGTTATGAGTGAGGTAAACAAGAGTTAAGGAGTAATCCAGGGATTTATGAGGGAATGGTTTGGTAAAGGCAATGCTGTACTGATATCCTGGGTTTCAGGGACTGGTTTCCCTAGAAATGGATAATGTTAATATTGCAATGTATGCCAGTGAGTACATGAGCATACATACTAAAAGTTAACATTTCCTTGCATTTGTACTTTTAAGTCATAAGTTGCAAAGGAGCCTTACCCAGTTTACACTAAATTGGTTTGTGTTAATACAGAATAAGTTTGCAACTTTGTCCTAACTCTCATTACTATTACTGTTTGATGCCTTTCAAAATCCTTTGGTGAAATTAAGATTGTTACAGGATATTAGCGATCAGTAGTACAACCACAGGAAGGTGAAAATAGGTTGGGAAGGGCGTAGCCCTAACTGCAGCTAACCCTGCCACTGCTACTAACAGTGCAGCACATGGTGTCGCACCACATACGGCTGCTGTCCAGGGCACAGAGTTGCCCAGTGTTGTTTCTGTTACCTATTTACTAAGCTCAAAATTTCTTTGGCTTAAAAAAAATACAAACCAAAATCCCCCACAAAAGAGCCACTGCCCATGAGAAATTGGATATAATTAATTAAAATGATTTGAATGCAAGTATGAATGCATGAAATGTACCCATTTTCATCTCTGGTACAGCAAACCTCACCAAGCTTAAGAGAACCGACAAAGAAAAAATATTCAACTAGAAATAAGGTGCCAATTTATCAGTGAGGGCACATGAATATCAGAACAAATTTCCCCTGGGAAAAGGGTGGATTTTCCATGATTTTAAAACTAGCCTACACACTGACCTCAGTTATCGCTCTAGTTTAGCCAGAAGTTAGGGGCTTAATACAGTAATTAAGGAATAAATTTCTATGTCCGCTCGTATTACAGATCAGATTAGAGGATGAAAAACCATTAATACCAACAGGAGCTTTTTATAACGAATGTAGAAGAAAACTGAAGATCACATTGCTATGTTTAGTTATTAGTTAAATTTGTTTGTAAAAGCAAATATTATACTGTGCCTGGCTTTCAATTAATGCCATGAATACGTTTCAGAGAATCCCACACAAGTATCCCAAGACATGGAATTCTTCCATTAGAAAGGGCACTTGTCTCTTGTGATACCCACTGAACTGCATGCATCTGAAAACAGAAATACCTTTAAAAAGTACAAGGCCCCAGTAGTGTTAGAGGGTGCAGTACCATAGCAGTTGAGCAGTTGCACTGGTGTTTGTTTGGCAGAAGTTCAGCTCGCTGGTCTACCCTAGCACTGCTTTCACACACAAACTTTGGAACAAGTACATTTATCAAATCTGCCTTGGTGCTGTATTAGGTTGGTTTGTAAATTAAAACAAGGAGGGGGAAAAGAAGCAATGCAACTTAACAAAGTTAACAATTTTCTCACGATAGTTTCATGTATGTGGTATAGAAGTGGAAGGTAGACAAAAAAAATTACTGTGATATCTGAAGGTTTCATTGGAAGTTACTATGAAGCCAGGCACATTCTGAAGCATTAAAACTGTTCCAATTAATTCTTTGCGCTAAAATCAGTGGTCAAGTTTACCCCAAGACAATAATAATGCTTCACAATATTTATTTTTTATTTCTTTTTTCTTTTTAAGAGGTGAGGCTAGATAATGACAAACAGGCATAGGTCTTTCCTATTCAATATATCTTTAAAGGTATTTCATTATCATTTGGAACAACCAAAAAGATTCTTCCCAGTTCCTTATGCAGGAAAGATATGAAGAGTTTTCAGTCAGCTATATATGTCTTAGCCAATGGAAAACAGACTGTATCAAGCAAGATGCACATTATTTTGTGCACAAACTATTACGTCCATTTTGCATGTTCAATATGGAGAGGGATTTGTAATGGTATTATTTTAGAATTAATTCTAACATACCATATTTTGTTGCATACAACTCCAAAATAAGACACGGACCTTGTTTCTGGAAGGCAGAAAGTAGGAAAAAAGATTTTTCCAGAACTATGGTCTGGAGATGGCTGTCTTGCAAAATGGTTGCCTCTTCCCCCCAGGACAGCAAGAAATAGGGGTAGAGCCCAGTGTTAATCCTTTTGCAGCTGTTAACAAATTGGCACTATTCTTGGATGCTGTCATGCCTCTCTCTACTCCTGTGTGGAGGGTTGCATCTAACACGGCATACACTCCTAGACTTTCGTTTTCAGATTGCACCATCTGATATTATAACAGTATTTACTGATTCTCGCCTCTTTTAATAATAAACAATTTTTTTTTTTTTAAAAGCATGTCTGACCAATTACTAGACACATCATACACAACATTTGCACAGTCCTGATATTCCTGAAAGGAGAGAAGAGTTCCTAGGTCCCTGTTTTCTCCTCTTTGAAGATTACTTCTGTTTGCTCCCTTCGTCGGAGCTCCCCCATTTTGTTAGTCCCGCTGGTCTCCTTCACTCCCTGGGAGTCTCCTCTCCCCAGGGTTTCCTCATTTCCCGCTCTTGCCCGCCCCGCCTCTCTCCCGTGGTTCGCCTGATCATCACGGAGCAGGTGCTCTAGAATCTCTGCGCTCCTCCCGTGTCTCTGTCTTTTTCTTTTTTGGACCCTTCTCCTGCCGGGAGTCTTTTGTTTATTCTCACTGTCTCTTCACACATCCTCCCCCTTAAGATGCCGCTAGGCACCTTACGTTCCAGCCTTCAGTTGCAGTCTTGAAGTGCGGGAGTCTCACCGCAGCGAGTAATGTGAGTTTGGGATGTTGTCGTCGCGATGACACTGGGACAAGAAGTCTGCCACAACACTGAATTTAGGACCAGCCATGCCAATGTGGAAATGGAAGGGTTGTAAGGTGAGGGCCCAGTGGGTGATCCATGCATTGTCAATTTGTGTGGACTGCAGCCACTTTAAAGGGGCGTAATCAGTAACTAATGTGAACGTGCGGCCCAGGAGGTAATACCAAAAATATTCTGTGCCCTGTTTGACAGCTAAACAATCCCGCTCAGTTGTGGCATACCTTTGCTCCTGCGGATTCAATTTTCTGCTGGCATAGGCAATTGGGTATTCCACATCGTCAGTCACTTGAGTTAACACTGCTCCCAGGGCATGATTAGAGGCAAGATGAAAGGACGTGTGAAATTGGGTGTTTGAAGGACCATGTCCTTACATAAAGCCTGTTGTGTTTTCCGAAAAGCTTCCAAAACAGTACGCATTCCACTGTATGGGTCTGTTACCTCGTCCCTTTAACAGACCAGTTAGCGGGGCTGTCACTGCCATGAAATGGGGAATGAACCGGAGGTAATAACTGACCAATCCTAGGAAGGCCTGCATTTGTTTCTTTGTTTGGGGTGGTGAATAGTCCCAAATAGCCGCTATTTTGTCCGTGAGTGGACGAATACACCTCTGTCCAGCCATAAAGCTCAAGTATTTAGTTTCAGCTTTGACTAATGCACATTTGCATGGATTCACGGTTAAACTGGTCAGTCTTAATTCTTAAAGAACTGCTCGAAGGGCATTTAAATGTTGGCCCCAGTCATCAGCATAAATTATATCATCCATATATGCTGTGGCATATTGCTGATGTGGTGCCAGAACCCAAATCAATTAATCTTTGGAACGTTGCCACAGCTCCATGTAGGCCAAATGGCATACGCTTGGATTGGTACAGTCGCCAGGGTGTGCCAAAAGCAGTTTTTCACCTGGTCTTCTTTGCGGACAGGAATCTGCCAATAACCCTTAGTTAGATCTAAGGTAGATATGAATTTGGCCCTTCCATCTCTTTCTAATAATTCACTTATCTATGGAATGAGAAAAGCGTCAAATTTTGGTATTGCATTTAATTTTCTGTAGTCCACACATAATTCTATCGAGCCATCTTGTTTGGGCACAGCTACTGATGGACTATGCGACTAATAATTCCCAGAGCCAACATCTTGTCAATCTCTGCTTTTAATCACATCATACCAATGATATGGAATGCTCTTCCATTTTTCTCTAATCACTTTCCCCTCAGAGGTGATAATTTTGTGATTTATTCTTTTAGCATATCCTGGGGTTTCGTTAAACACATCTCCAAATTTGTTTATTATGAGCTTTAACTATTTTTTTTGTTCTACTGTCAGTTGGTCTTCTAAACCTACTCCTTTATCAGCTTCCTGTCCCCTTTTGAATTTGGTTGTTTTGGTTTCTGGCTCTGCCTGTTCTCTTATTTGGGTCCCCAATAGACACTCTGGTTCATTCCATGTTTTCAACAAATTGACATGAAAAAATTTGTCTTTTTTGTGTCCGGGGCATAAGATTTCATAAATCAACAGGGCTGACTTGCCTAATTCTCGGACAGTCTTTGCCAAAAAGTTAAGAATTTACTCGTCGCACTGTGTAGTAGTACTGACACTTTTTGCCCTTCCCGTAGTTCTCTTCGTTGTCGCTTTGTCGTAATTGACTTTGTCTCCCTTGTGCTCATTGGAGATGTTCTCTGGCTACCTCCCCTGCTTTCCGTAATCTTCTCCTCAACTCTCGTACATACTTGGTTGGTTGTGCCCCCATAGGTTCCCCTTTCTCCCATTCCTCCCGTACCACATCCAACAGGCTTCATGATTGGTGGCCATATACCAGTTTGAACGGGGAAAACCCAAGGGAAGATTGCAGGACTTCCCTTACTGCAAACAACAGGGGTGGTACTAACAAGTTCCACTTTCATGGTTCTTCTTGAGCGCAATGTCATGGCATTTTTTTGAGTCCCGTTAAACCTTTCCACCAACTTATTGGTTTGGGGGTGGTATATAGCCGCACGCAAGTGTCACATCTTGAGTACTTGGCATAGACTTCTCCTTATGTGGGACTTGGAAGTTCATCCCTTGGTCAGTGATTATTTCTTTGGGTATACCCAGTCTTGATACCCACTTCATCAATTCCTCTGCTACCCAAGGTCCTGTAACTGTGCATAGAGGGATTGCTTCAAGGAACCTAGTGGTGTAGTCTATTAAAGACTAGTAAGAATTGGTAGCCCACAGAACTTTTTGGTAGTGATGCTATTATATCTAGGGCTATTCAGGCAAAGAGCTCTTCCACTACCGGCACTGAACATAGGGGTACTGGAAGAGGTTTTTGGAGGCCGACCTACTGACAAGTAGGGCCGACCTTGCCCTACGACCTAGGGCAAGCTCTACAGAAGTCTTCGACTTGCTCGTAGAGTCAGGGCCAGAAACACCATTTAGTCAGTCTAGCCTCCGTTTTATTCTTCCCCATGTGACCTCCCAACGGATCTGTAAGTGCCAATTTCAATAAAGAGTTTCTATACCTCTGGAGAATTAGACGCTACAGTATCTCTACTCCATCAGGTTGGCCCAGTGTAATTCTATATGACAGACCCTTCCTTATTTAGTACCTGGGTAATGCGTGACACAGCTCGGGGCATATTACCCATTAGTCTCGTCTCGCCAGTTCCGACTGAATAATGGCTTGGAACACATCTTCTCCCTGTTGGGCTTCCCCGAAGTGAGCGCTGCCTGCAAAACTCTCTAGATCAAATCCTGCTGGCTCAGCTGGAGCTTCTCACCCTTCTCCCACCAGTCCCATCCATTTTTCCTCTTGTGCTCTCTCTGTATCCAACACTGGACAGAAATTTACCATATCTCAACCTAATATCATTGGATACAGTAGATCCTTGGTTAGCCCGACAGGCATTTCTCTCACGACGCCCAATACTTCCACCCAATACTTCTTCCGTGGATACACCGATGGTTGCCCATGCATACAAATCATCTTCACCGCATCCGCTCACAGAGCCCAATACCTTGGAGCCAGGTCTGCCCTAACTAAGGTCAGTGCGCAACCCATGTCCACGATGGCTTGCATCTTCTTCCCACCTACCCTAACCCAAATTGTTGGTTTAATCCTTCAGTTTCTCCCCGCCTGTTTTCCCAATACTACAGGTCCATCATCTCTACCTGTCCATTGTCCCCCTGCTCCTGGCATCAAACAATGCCTCCCGTCCACGTTGATTCTGGCGAGGAACATTCGTACATTCTCTTGCCATGTGCCCTATCTGTCCACACCAGAAATACGCTATTGATCGCCTCATTTCCCAGGGTTCTTTATGATCCGCTTCTGGTGATATGGTGTCCGGCCTTCCTTTGATACCCTGTTCTTGGTTGCCTTCTCCTTGTGCCAGCTAATCTCAACGCCTCAGCAGACTACTTTGGGCGGTGACAACACACCCACCACTGTGTACCTTAATCTAGGTCCATTAAAAACTGTTCCAGTAAAATCTGAGTGCACAGATCCACTTCAGTCACCTCTTGGGGTCTCAGCCACTTATCTAATAGATCGGCTAAATGCTGGAGTGGTATCCGTGGGGACTTGTCCTCTCTTCTTGATTCAAAAGGCTTGATGATATCTCTCTGGGTTGATGTTCAAATGATACATGATTTCCTTTTTACTTTGTCATAGTTGAGTGCTTTGCCCGGTGCATAGCTCAATAAGTGGACTGGAGTCTTCCGATCAGCAATACCCCCAAACTGACCGGCCCATCTATTCTGATCCAAACCAAAGGCCAAGGCGGCTCGTTCGAAACCCAGAAGCCTTTCTGGAGAGTTATCCTGCGGAGTCATCTTGGGTACCTTCAACTCCACCTCGTTCTCTTGAGTCCATGCTTGCTGCTGGAGCCAGTTTTCCTCAAGAGCAGTTTGTCAAGTTGCTTGTTGTTGCTGCTGCTGCTGCCTCACCAGATGTAAGGTCTGCTAAAGCGGTTCAGAACTCCCCATTGTGCCTGGCTGCATTTCCATGTGTTCTTTGCGACTTAGGCTGTTGTCGAAGTTCCTGGCCAATGCACCACTTGTGGGGGTTGCATCTAACCCAGTGTACACTCCTAGACTTTCGTTTTCAGATTGCACTGTCTGATATTATAACAATATTTACCAACTCTCACCTCTTTTTCTTTTTTAAGAACACATCTGACCAATTAAGAGACATATCATACACAACATCTGCACAGCCCTGATATCCTTGAAAGGAGAGGAGAGTTCCTAGGTCCCTATTTTCTCCTTCTCGAAGATTACTTCTGTTCCCTTCCTTTGTTGGAGCTCCCCCATTCTGTTAGTCCCACCAGTCTCCTTCACTCACCAGGACCCTCATCTCTCCATGGTTTCCTTGTTCCCTGCTCTCGCCAGCTCCACCCCTCTCCTCCCACATCTATTTCTCCTTGGCCCCGCCCCTCTCTCCCGCAGCTCGCCTGATCATCACGGAGCAGCTGCTCCAGAATCTCCATGCTCCTCCTGTGCCTCCGTCTTTTTCTTTTTTGGACACTTCTCCTGCCAGGAGTCTTTTGTTTATTCTCGCTGTCTCTTCACAGCCTGCAAAGAAAATCAGCTTCTGTGTAAGACATGCACTCTTGTACTGGATGCTGATTTTGGGGGAAAGTGTGTGTGTGGTATGCAAGTAAATATGGTAAATATTTGTGCATGCACTTTTTTTTTTTTTTTTTAGAATTTTTCATACAAATTAACATATAAAAACATGATACATCATCACCCATACAAGAGCAAGTATTTTTATTTACAAAGGAAAAAAATGTGACCAAAATTCAGAAAAGGGGTCTTTTGTAGTGCTTCAAGTACCACAGAAAAAATAAACTGTGAATTTTCTAGTGATGAGCAAAAGTAACAATTCCCTGAGAAAGCTACAGACCTATTTTTTTTCAAAATCCAAGTACTGTCTTCTGGATTACCGAGAATCCAACAGATAATTGAACTTTGACAAAATCAGACTGGAGCTGAAATGCTAACACGCACTTCCACCCCCTGCATAAAGCCCAGTTTCAGGCAAGCACGTAGCTGCAAGCATATTAAGCATGTTCTAATATTCCTTTCCTGAATAAAGCTGATTTTTCTGATTCAACATGTAGAAATTTTATTAACTTTTTGATTATGTTAAGCTATTATGAAGATAAATCAAGAGATTACTGGTCTGTTTTTACTGGGGCCTCAACAAGCTCTCCAATTATGCAAGTGATGCTTTGCAAACACACATGTGCATGTGTTCTGGAGATCTAACATTTGCAATACTAGAATCTGAATGCAAATACAGCTTAGGTACTACTTCCTCTAGGAAGTATGACCTGCCAGTGACACTATCTTATTTGTATCTATATCTTACCTATATCTACACACATACCTCTTTAAGAGGGATCATCATCCTTAGCTCCCTCCCCTCCCCCTCCCCCCCCAAAAAATCAATATCTATCTATAGGCCCCCAATAGAGATTTTGGGGGCCCAATACTGACAGCTGATTATTAAGGAGGCATATTGTCTGATGCCGATCCGATTTCCAATACAGATGCATGCAGCTGGTAAGTCAGTTGTGGTGGAAGGTGGGGGGAGGAGGAAAGGGCATGGGGAGGCAGACCAATGCCCCCTGCGGTGAGGGAGGGAGTGGGGCAGGGGAAGACTGCCCAGATGGGGTAGGGTGCAGGATGGAGCCACAATTTATCTGGGGAGGCACACGGGGGCAGCTCCCACTGCTGTGTGCACCCTGGGAGGGCATGGGGGGGGCAGGTGCTCCCAGATCTGCGTGGACCAGGGTGGGGCAGGCTTGTGCCAGGGCTGTGCTGGGCTCTTCTCAGCAGGGGCTGGGTTCAGGGCAGGCAGCAGTGGTGCTGGGAGGGGGAGGCTATGGGAGAGGGCTACAGCAAAATTTTGGGTGGCTGCACCCCCCTCCCTGTAGTCTCCCTCCCCTCCCAGTGCTGCCACCA